TGAAGAACAATTTTAAAGTGGTTAATTTTATCGTTATATTCATCAATATTATAAGATTGAAATTAAATTGATAAGATGAAGTAAATAAAGTACGCATTATTTTCCATGCATGCACTTTTGTCTCCTTTTTGGCTCATTCTTATGAATATGATGATTAAATTTTCATCTGATAATGTGCAATTCTGTCTGCTCGGATAATACCAATAATTGAAGTTCAATGTTAAAACATAACTTTATTACAAGTAATATCACAGAAATATTTAATGGCAAAAAACGTTTTCCACTTGATGAAAGCTTCTATTTTTCAAAGCATAACTGATTTTGTTTTTTAACTCTGTTAAATATTCATAACTCATTAATTATAATTCATAGAAAATTTTTGCAGCTATATGACATTCTTTTCTGAAATTTTTGCTAAAGATAAGCAATGCAATAAGTATTTAAAAAAAAAAAACATTGCATTTATTTTTTGATAAAATAAGTTCATGATAAAATTAGACGAAAATTTTGGAATTGAAAAACTAAAATAGTATTTAAATATTGAAGTGAAGTGTAATATCAAAGCAATAGATTGTTAAATAACTAAAATAACAATGTGAAGTATTGTTCACAGCAATTGTAGCTAAATTTCATGAAAGCATTTCCTTCTTAATTTAAATTCTGAAAATTAGCATCCTCATAACATATTTCCGGTTTCAGCTAATTATTTCCAATTCTTCAAATCATATCCTTTAAATGACATTGATTTGTTTGACTCAGATACCGACGAATTTTTTGAAGTTACATAAAAATAAATAATAAATTGCATTGTTTATCATTTTATGCAATTAATGAAAGAATACAAATTGTATCCATTTCTGACAAATATCTTTCTAAGTTTTTTTCAAAATATTTTTAAAAAAAATTTTGAAATTTATAAGATCATTTGCAGTATTTCCTGTTCTTTCTTCTATTTCACCTATGCCTCAAATACGATAATTAAATTCAATCATTCATGGATAGTTTGAAGCAAATGAAGCAAATTATATGATAAGAACAAGTAAATATAAATGAATAATCGATGTTAATTAACGTGACAACAAATTGCGGAGTAATGGGAATTGAAATTGTTTTAACTTCCTCTTATAGTTTTCGATTAAATTAGGTGAATATTTCTTTCAATTTTTTCACCAACGTGATTCTCAATAATGCTTTATTGACTGCTGCTAAT